AATTTATCCCCGTAACCCCATTTGGGGTCGCGACCCATAGTTAATGAAGTCCTTGTTTATGCTGTTTGAAATCTTATGTAATAATAATATTAATACAAAATTTTTAATTCAAAAAGCTGTATAATAAATTAAAAATTTCGTATTAATATTATTATTACATAATATTTCTTTCAAACAGCATAAACAAGGGCTTCTTTAACTATGGGTCGCGACCCCAAATGGGGTTGCGGGAAAATATTCTATGTTTGCGAGTGTTTATAATGTCAAATATTTATATCGTTTTATAACATCACGTCAAGATTGCAATTATTATAATAATTGCCTATAAAAAGATTTATCAATAAAGGTTAATAGAAGAACATTATTACAAATATTACCCATGTCGTAAAAGTAGTAATACTAGAAAATAAAGAAAATTTATACAAATTATAAATATTAAATTATAAAATATTAAAAATTTATAGCTCACAAAATCATATCAATCACAGTATAATTTTTTCTAATAACTATCAAAAAGTGTGCCATGTTTTTATATTTGTTGATTTCATATAATAATCACAACGATTTATATTTTATGATTTATAATAGTATTGGAATTTAATACAGAATAAGTAATAAAAGTATATATTGAAAAATCATTACTAAATTTTACAAGAAGAATCATATGGACATATATCTGTACTCCAACATACATTTCCAGAAAATTTTCAGGCGCACAAAAGTAATAAAATTGAATCTTATATCATATCAGAAACAAATCAAATTTCTAGATGTCTTTTTTATTACGTTTTGGGATGAAAATGGTTTGAGAATCTTGGCTTACCTTTGAACTAGCATATTATTTACATATAGATATAAAAATGTGGATTATATAACTTCTGTTGTTGTATCGTTAATCAGATAAAACTTCTATGTGAAAAATTTTGGCATTAAAATAATATTAAATTGTAAAATAAAATTTATTTATAATTTAATTTTTTTTTGATATTTTTTTAACGACAATCAGAACCTTTCGTCCTATGAGCTGTTGGGCTGAAACTTCTCTTTACTTCGTATTTTTTAGATGGTAACCCTATGGTTAATCCATCCATATTTGATGATTTTTGTTATTAGAATTAATCTAATAGGGCTGACTTTTTATTGGTGCAGCAATGCCGGGCAAGGGCTATTTGCACTTGGAAACATATTGCTATCTATATTTCCAAGTGAAAATCGTTGTCACTGCTGTCTGACAACAGGCTGCTCGAAGTGGGTATCGAACCCGGAACCTCTGATTCAGGTCCCGCCGCTCTTAACCGTTTACCTACGGGCGAGCCCTATAATTTGAATTAATCTCAAGTTTATTATATAATATTTCACTTTCACATATCTAAATATATATAATAATGTCAGTAGTATATGTAATATATACTCGAGCTACAAGGGGCTTTTTGTAGAAGTTTTATTTTTGAATTAGTATATTTAGAGAACCAATAATGGTATTTCTACACACGAAAATTTGACAGATTCCGTTAATAACTAACCTCAAGTGTGATTTTTACATTATTCAAGCTATTTGGCAATCTCAAAAATTGTTACACGTTATTAAAGATTGATATATTTAAAACCTCTGTAAATAATTGGATTTGGAATATTTGCAACTTGCCAAAAAGAACTCTGCATCTACATATTTCAATTCAATAATTTTATAAAATTTTCTTTTGTAAATATTTTGAACAAACGATCAGTTTTATCAAAGTATGATTGGTTAAAATTAGATCAGTGTCTATTTAATAACCTAATTACTGTTAATTGTTTCTCTTATGCATTATTTGAGGTTTTACACAGATATCGAGAGTCAATGTTGATCTAACATTTGGCAATGCTGGGTGGGCCATCTGAAAATATTGATCTACTGTAAACAAACAGCTAGTGGATCCTGTACAATTGCAAAATTAACTTTTATTTGCTAGTTCTTACAAATCTGCTAACCATAATCAACAACTTTTGATAAAATTTTTGAGATTAATTATTATTATATTTATTAACTTCCCACAGGAGAAGTTTGTGATTTTGCCAGATTTGCGATTTTTATTTTGTCTTGACGTTTCAAGTCATTCTAAACTGAACGAGACCTTTGGAAAAGTTTGTGTGATCGTGTATGTGAGCCGATCATTGCTCCTTCGTCGAAATTTTTTTTTAAAATGGCCAATTTAAGCCAAATAAAAATTTAAAAACGTTTATCAGTTTTGCCGGAAATTCATAATTAGCAAAAAATTCGAATAGGTTCGTTTACTTTTTTCGACCACAATTCTTTCTAAAGATGTTGGTTGGGAATCGTGTCGATTAGTTTTTGGTAAGGAACTGCCAAGCCGTTTCTTACTATTTAGTAACTATTTGTTGAAACATTTTATTCTCGAAATAAACATTTGGACGTTTTACCTAATGATATCTGAATCTCAATTCTTAATGAATAAGTTAACTATGAATGCGTGTCGGGAAGTTCATGCAACTTGTCTCAAGGTAAAATGCTACTCATACCACATTGTATTCAGCATTTTACTAATTATAAAATTTTGTCAGTTATCAGTTTAACACGTTGCCGCACACCTTTAATTTGACGATCGTGTTCAGAAACACACTTTTTTTTAATTATTTATGATTAGCAGATGAAATCGAGTGTAAGTTGTATGTTTGGAAGTGAAAAATATTAACTATTATTGAATTATTAATTATTAGGCCGTTGTTTGCCTACATATCGCTAAAGATCGGACAGCTATAGCCGTCCTTTGCGGCAACGTGTTAATATAAACTATATCTGAAATATTAATTTAGGAGTATACAATTACTTACATTTACATTTCGTAAGCTATCTTGCATTCAGTGTGCAGAAGGTATACCCATGCAATTCTACATTTATGAGTTCCTTTATGTGAACGATGCTAAATATAGAGCAAATGATAAATTATAAATTTGTTTCATCAGAATATTTCAATTAACTTAATGAAGTGCATTCAATCATCCACTCAAACGAAAATCATGCTTTTCTCTTTTGCGATATTAAACAAACCAGATATTAATTAATAATTAATTATAAATTATATTGAAATAATTGGAAATTAAAATATTGTTGACATTATGGAGAATGAAATAGTGCAGAAATATAAATGATTTATTGAAACGTTGAAACGACTACATTGTTTGTTAAATGATTTTTTTTCTTCATAAATAATTATGACATTCGTACAAATTTAATTTATAGTGTTAAATTGAATAAAATCACTAAAATATGAAACAATCATTTACTTAGAAGCAATAACTATAAGTGACTACAACTGTGAATTACATGAAAAATTACAAAAAATGTATGAAAACAAAGTTCTTCGCTAATGAGTCAATTCTGCCGTAAAATAGAATAATGTTAGAGCAAGGCTATGCTAAATTTTTTCATATGTGAAAATGCTATGTGGTTGCTGTGCAGTCAGGGGTTTTAAATATAAAGCCTAACTTTGAAAACGAACAAACGCCAAAAATATCTATTTTAAGTGCATCTTTCTGATGTATCATAATAATACATGGGAGAAGTTAGGTCCGGTAAATTTATTATTGAATTTTGTTGAATATCCAGTATTTTAAAGGTATTATTACAAAATTTGTTCATATTCTCTACCGCTATAATAGCAGTAATTACCTACATTTGATGCTTTACAGAATTCACAATGCAAAATATTTCTCACAATCCAATCAATATTATAAAGAGGAATATATCATCCCATGCGATATGCGATGTCGTAAACACTGAAAGTTTGGTGGAAATTTCCCGGATTAGTGGAATAGAAAACAAGCTTGATTGCGAGCCATTTTCTCTCTGGGTAGAAGTTTTAATTACAAAATCATCCCTTTGACAGATAATTTCCAATTCTGATAGAAATATTACATATAGAGATACAGAATTTGTATAACCCAACATTCAGTTATTAAAGTCATTAAGTTTCGCTTTGCACATGAGGTCAATTATACAAATTATTTTGAAATTTATATGTATATTATACTTGTATGGCAATTGTGGTTAAAAATCGTTAAAAAACATTTTAGTGGTTATTTGAATAATTTATTTTTTCACCGATCTTATATCCAATCATTTCTGAAGTAGCATCTTTAGTAATACCATCTGGCCTTTCGAAGTATATAGTGCAGTTTCAACTTTCTGAATCAAAATTTTGCATGACAATTTTGAAGAAATGCTATATGTATATTGAATTGCGAAAAATTTTACTTGATAGTTCCAAAAAGTCCATAGGTATATGCTAATTTTCTCTGGTCCGAACAATTTTCTCTGCAGTACAAAATTAAGTATAATAAAAATGCTGTCTTATGTTTTGTATATTTGAATGGGCCTATGATCAAAAAGCACTGCAAACATCATATGCATATTTTCCTATTAATTTTTTACTATACCAGCTCTCAAAAAGTTTTCAAACTGTTTTACAACAATAACGACTTTCTCTAAATTCACTAAAACTCAAATGATACATTTGATTATTTCATTTTATGATAATTATTTTTATTCTATATCCGAGGGATAACAAAAAAAGAATTCTATTTCTTCAGCTGATTGCACATGAAGTGCGTACGTAATTCAAAACAAATAATATTTACAGCCAATTGAGTTATAAATAGTTAAACTTTATTTATTTTTTACTCTAGTAAATATACGTAATGTGTGAGTAAATAAACAAATCATTTCATATATAAATGGTAAGATAGAACAAAATGATAGGGTCTGGTCTGAAAGTGTCAGTGATCATCATGTTCAATATCGTACTATTGTGTATTGCAGTATCTAGCTGCTGTGCAAAGCCGGTAAGTAAATATAATTGCAGTTAGCAAAAATTAGTTTTTCCTATTTTTGCTATTGCGGAATATATTCATTAATTAAGTATAAGTAATATATATGGTTTTAATGTATTATTAAGACACCGGGAAATTGGCCGGAAATTCCAAAACCTGATCCATGTGACATGCCGCTTCCAAAACCAGAACCGCCTTGTGATCTACCAGTACCAAAACCGGAACCACCATGCGATTTACCAGCTCCAAAACCTGAACCACCATGCGATTTACCAGTACCAAAACCTGAACCACCATGTGATATACCAGCTCCAAAACCTGAACCACCATGCGATTTACCAGCACCAAAACCTGAACCACCATGTGATATACCAACTCCAAAACCTGAACCACCGTGCGATTTACCTGCACCAAAACCGCTACCATGTGATTTACCAGCACCTAAACCGGAACCACCATGCGATTTACCGGTACCAAAACCCGAACCGTGTGATTTACCAACACCTAAACCGGAACCACCGTGCGATTTACCAGTGCCTAAACCAGAACCACCGTGCGATTTACCAATACCAAAACCGCTTCCATGTGACTTACCAGCACCTAAACCGGAACCACCATGCGATTTACCGGTACCAAAACCCGAACCGTGTGATTTACCAGTGCCCAAACCAGAACCACCGTGCGATTTACCATTACCAAAACCGGAACCACCATGCGATTTACCATTACCAAAACCGGAGCCACCTTGTGACTTGCCTTTACCTATGCCTGAGCTACCTTGTGATTTGCCACAGCTTCCATTGATACCATTGCCACTTCACTAGAAAACGAGCATGTTGTATATGTAAATAATAATGAAATGAACGAAAATAAAATAACAGTTTAACAAATTTGCGTTAATTTTCAAAATTATTATTTTAAGTTGTTAGTCATTAATTAAACATTAATGCCATGAAAAGAAATGATTCAACCACAATATATTTAAATATAGTTTCATGGCATAATTAAATATAATTATGTCCAGAGATAATTTTAAGATTTGTCTTCGAACCAGATGCAGCTGTAAAACTTGAAAACACTTTTAATTCATTTTAGTGAGTCAAAATATGTATGTCAATATGCAACTTGATAAATCTACTATTGATTATCGTTGTTTGTATTGAATGTTTGGCATTTCCATACGCAGTTCATTTTGTAAGGTCTATTTTTTATTCAATATGGTGCTTTATTTTGTTTTCTTTGTCCTTATACGAAAACAAAATTCAATTAATTAAATCAAAATAATAAATATTGATTTATATAATTTTTCTTTTGTTGAATTTTATCATCACAATGAATCTTATTGCAATATTATTTTCATCAAAATACGAACCAAAAGTAAATTTGAATATATAATAATTTGAACAACTGCGTTGACTTTGTGAATTTACTTAAAAAATCCGTGAGCTCTTATTTCTTAATTAAATAGTCTGTAGGTATATAAATATAAAAAATACGGGTTTAGTAAGTACTTTACAGTCTGCCAAAATGGCACAGAAAGTTGTCATTTTTTATGCTACTGTGTGGTGTATCGGATTATCAAATGTAAGTATAAATAACTATTTTAAATTAAAGATATTATAAATACACACACATATATATATATATATATATATATATATATATATATAACTAGTACATAATATGGTATTTTTTAAAAGGCTAATCCAGGATTTATACCTTCCGGATTGTCAAATTTCGGAGAGGTATCACATATTAGTGATGGAAACCATGTAGTAGACCCTTCAACTGTTATAGATACTAATGGACAAAAATATACCGAATTTGCATCTGATAATATACCTAGTAACAAAGGAAGTTTTAATCTACCTGACGCGTCTAGTACGAGTATTGATTCTTCGGGATTGAGTTATGGTACAGATCTGGCTCGAAGTGGCACTAAAAATAGTAATTTAGGGTCCGGTTTTAGCAATGCAGCATATTTACCCAATATAAAAACAGCTTCTCATAATGATAATCTTCATAGTGGTTCAGGACATGATTATGAGCAATCTAGTAAGAATTCAGAGATACCTGAACAATATGGAACTAATTCTCATAGGACAAATGATGGCCCATCTGATCAGTATAGAACTGATTACCATGAATCGAATGATCGCTTATCTGGTCAATTTGGAAATGACCGCCGTGGGCTGGATGATCGCTCATCTGATCAGTATGGAACTAACTCCCATGGGTTATCTGACCATTCATCTGATCATCAAAATGCTGATAATTATGATGGAAAATATGATGATCAAACTTCACATAATCCACGATCAGCATACGAAGAATCGAGTACTGGAAATTCCTATGAAAGTCACAGCGTCGGAGAAGAAACAATAAATGCTGATAATGATATTGAAGACGTTACTAATGGCAATGTTCTGAGTGAAAAAATGACTTCCTTATCTGGCGCTTCTTCTGGTGTGAATAGTCTTTCTGGTATTGGCGGTGGTTTGCCAGGTATGGATAGCATTCCCGGTATTGATGCCGGGCTGCCTGGGATAGATAGCATTCCTGGTCATGATGGTGGCTTACCCGGCATGGATAGTATCCCCGGTCTTGATGGAATTCCTGGTGTTGATGGCGGGTTACCTGGTATGGATAGTATTCCCGGTCTTAATGGTAATTTACCTGATGCGAATAGCATCCCCGGTCTTGATGGTGGCTTGCCCGGTATGGATAACATTTCGGGTCTTGATGGTGGCTTGCCTGGTATGGATAACGTACCGGGTCTTGATGGCGACTTGCCCGGCATGGATAGCATTCCTGGTCTTAATGGCGGCTTGCCCGGTATAGATAGCATTCCCGGTCTCGATGGTAGCTTACCCGGCATGGATAGTATTCCCGGCCTCGAAGGCGGCTTACCCGGCATGGATAGTATTCCCGGCCTCGAAGGCGGCTTACCCGGCATGGATAGCATTCCCGGTCTTGATGGCGGCTTGCCCCGCATGGATAGCATTCCCGGTCTTGATGGCGGTTTACCCGGTATGGATAGTATTCCTGGCCTCAATGGTGGCTTACCAGGTATGGATAGCATTCCTGGCCTCGATGGCGGCTTACCAGGTACAGATAGCATTCCCGGTCTTGATGGTGGCTTGCCCGGTATGGATAGTATTCCGGGTCTTGACGGCAGCTTGCCCGGTGTGGATAGTATTCCTGGTCTTAATGGCGGCTTGCCCGGAATGGATAGCATTCCGGGTCTTGATGGCGGTTTGCCGGGCATGGATAGCATTCCCGGTCTCGATGGTGGCTTACCCGGCATGGATAGTATTCCCGGCCTCGATGGCGGTTTACCCGGCATGGATAGCATTCCCGGTCTTGATGGCCGCTTGCCCGGCATGGATAGCATTCCCGGTCTTGATGGCGGTTTACCCGGTATGGATAGCATTCCTGGCCTCGATGGCGGCTTACCAGGTACAGATAGCATTCCCGGTCTTGATGGTGGCTTACCCGGTATGGATAGCATTCCGGGTCTTGATGGCGGCTTGCCGGGCATTGATAGCATTCCCGGTCTTGAAGGTGGCTTACCCGGCATGGATAGTATTCCCGGCCTCGATGGAGGCTTACCAGGTATGAATAGCATTCCCGGTGTTGATGGCACCTTGCCCGGTACGGATAGCATTCCCGGTCTTAATGGCGGCTTGCCCGGTATGGATAGCATTCCGGGTCTTGATGGCGGATTGCCGGGCATGGATAGCATTCCTGGTCTTGATGGTGGCTTACCCGGCATGGATAGTATCCCCGGTCTTGATGGAGGCTTACCAGGCATGGATAGCATTCCCGGTCTTGATGGCGGTTTACCCGGTATGGATAGTATTCCTGGTCTCGGTGCTGGCTTACCACGGGTGGATAGTATTCCTGGTCACGATGGTGGCTTACCTGGTATGGATAGCATTCTCGGTCCTGATGGAGGCTTGCCTGGTAAGGAATGCATTAACGGTCTTGATGGTGGCTTACCCGGAATGGATGGCATTCCCGGACTTGGTGGCGGCTTGCCGGGTATGGATACCATTCCTGGACTTAATGGTGGAGAACGACATAATGATGATTCGGCAGGTGGTAACAGTAAACAAAATATTGGTGGTCACAAAGATTCTAGTAAAGAACCTAAAACAGGTTTCTTTGGCATGAAGTAAAATTGTAATTATAGTTAAATATTTATATAATCAATAAGTATAGTAATTTAAGCAAGTAATTTAAATTCATTGATTGTAAGGAGAAGGAAAGGTGATATACGTTTTAAATGAAATGTATAATTTTCTGTATAAATATATTTTATAAAGAAATAAAATTAACAGCAGAATAGTCAACAATTTGTTTTCATGTTTTATAGTTTTAGTAAATTTGTAACTATTGGTTGTACTTGCTTGTCTATATTTTCATATTTTTCTATAATCTTTTCTTCATTGAATCGGCGCAAAACTATTTTATCTACATTTTTATATTTTCTCTCAATATTTTCATAATTTTGTTCTATTCTATCAATCATTTCGTCAATATTATTCATTAGCTTTAATATAGCTTCCATATAAAACTTTGCATTATTGAGTAAAATCTCTTCTATTCCGTTTATGTTGAAGTTGTTGAATACTTGCCCCAACAGGATGCTTTTTGACAAAGTCTCTTGAGTTAATTTCGCGTTGTTTCTTTTTTCGAAATTTTTTCTTTTGCCTGTTGCGAAAAAAATGCTTCTTTGCATTCTTGGTGTTGCCAAGGGTGTCTTGTTCATTATTGTGCGCATTTATTAGATTATTATTATTATTCAATATATTTTTCGAATATTTGTAGTCAATGCTTGACATACTAGTTTCTTCTGAGTCATTTTGCAAACTCTCTTTGTCTTCTTTATAATTTTTATCTTTACCTTCATGTCCATTTGGACGCGTTTGCTCTTCATGATCGAAGTGTTTATAACGTTTATCGTTAATTTTTATACGGTCTATGCGATTTCGAAAATGTTTTTTCTTGAATTTATCATTACGAAATTTTGGATTGTTAATATTTTTTATATTAAAATTTTGATCTGACATATCCGGAAAATTTTCAGGAATTTGCGCATCTGAGGATCTTTCTGTTTGTTTGTTTTCTCTCTGTGTGCTCATTGTTACGTTTCGGTTCCCATCAGGTCCAGCTGGTGGTAAACTTGGATCATCTATAAATATACCTGTTCTGTTATTTCCTGATACCTTACTCGGGTAATCAGGATTGTATACATTGGTATATTTGGTGCTTGTCCAATTTAGATTATTAGGTATATCCGTTGTGTTGTTGATATTGCAACTACTAGTAGTATTTGTGATATAATTTGGTGGAAAATATTCGTTCTTGAAATCTGTAACTTCTTTAATAATATTGCTAGCAGTAGCATTTAAAGGATGGAGTATAGTATTAATATTAAGCTTGTCTTTTATTGAATCTGGTATTGGAATAATTTTACTTCTTTTCGTGTTTACGGCGTTTTCATTGTCACGTTTATTGGATGTGTCATCTTTTTTAGATGAGCTTTGTATAACATTTTCATCATAATTTTTATATATTTCTTCAGTATTTTTGAGAATTTTATAATGTTCCGTGACCAGATCACTGATTCCTAATTGTTCTCTTCCGATTTTCTAAAAAATTTGAAATTATGGTATTAATAAATAGATTCAATTAATTGCATCATAGTTAAACCTTAACAGTTTTTTAAAAGTCAACAAATCAATACATTTCGGAATAAAATTTTTTAGTTTTTCTTATTATTTTGGGATTTAGATTTATATAATGTATAATCAATTATGGTCTGAAATATAAATCGCATGTCATGATATAATAGATCACATATTATCAACCAAAAATGTTTTTTTTCGAGTTTGTGTCACTGAAAAGAGACTGATTTTGCTGAATTCAATTGCTGAATATATAGACATATTATTTAAATATGCTTAAAATATACAAAATAAAAGTCTGAGCAGATTAAAATTAAATTAAAGAAAATTGAGTTTGTTTGTCAATAATGGATCAAGTAAATCTATGTATATTAATATTTTTTAGCGACAAGTAGTGTCTAAATCATCATCTATTTTTTATTTTTATTAGTTAAGTTTTTATTTGTTAGTGAATTATGGAATATATATATATATATATATATATATATATATATATATATAAGCTGCTTCTATTTTTGCGTATATCGTTGTTTTCTGGTTTTCATATAAAAAACTCATAAAAACTATAACGTATTAGATATTGAATTAAACCAAGCTACGTGAATTTTGAGAATATCATTTATGATGTTCAGGAAAATTGCCTAGATACCTCAACTTATTTTTTTCTCGTTAATATTTTATAAATCATCAAAAATATTAATAAAATATATTTAGGAAGCTGTTTGGTTCTGACACTCCAGCATTTTATTAGGTAAATTACATGATATCTATGAACAATAATTATTTATGATAGTTTGTTATATTTATTTATTTTCAAATTTATATTTATATTATTAATATAAGACAGCTACCACACGCATTCAGAAATGCAACAATTTAGTTCATCCTCTAAGCAGGAGAAAAGGAAATCAATATAAGAAAATTAGAAGAAAATAATCATCATTCCAATTGATTATCACACAAGTTACCATCATAATCGTTTCTAAAACATCAAAACTAAAATCTAAAAATCAGATAATATAAAAATGATAAATAATCTAAAAATTAGATTATTTATCAACAACGAAGCATCATCATTTTTATAATTTTTATGATCTATTTTTATAGTGTTTTATGTGAGAGCAATTTGTTGATGTACAATAATTTTTTTAACTCATACTGTCTAAAAATGGTGTTTTATTATTATAAAAATAGTTACTAAATATTGGAAAAAATATTTTACTACTTACTAATCCGTGAACAGCAACTCTACAAAATATTGCAAATATAAATAATTGCTTAATCATGATCAATTTAAATACTTTTAGTAAAATTTCACTTGAACAAACTGCAGCTTAAAATCATACAAAAATATTAGACTGACGCGTTGTTTGCCTATGTTAATATAGTTAAATACTGAAAAGTTGCACGTAGTTGTTTAGTTATTATCTATTTCTGCCTAAAAGGTTGCATATGTGTACTTGGGTTTCAATATGGTTATCTGCATTCACTTGACATAATTTTGGTTTAGTGTATAATTTGCAAGGATTTTTGTGTTCTACTTTTTTAAGTGCTTTCGTATTTCTATCGATTATAAAAATGACAAGGTTAAAGCAATTATTCAAGTAATTACATCGTGAACTATATGTCATGTTTTGCTTAGATGTAGTTATTTTTTTCAAGTGCACTAATACGGAATCAATTTAAATTTGAGTTTTATTGCACTGATTTTTAAGGATATATGATCATAATTTAAAGTTAAACATTTTGATCGTTGGTATTATGGTTTTATAATTTAACTTTCCGTAGGGTACGTTATGGTAATCGCGAAAATGAAAATGAAAATTTTTAAATATTAATTTATGATTAAAGAGTCATCAATATTTAATTTATTTATTTTAATTTTACAATATTTAAATAATTCAAAAACATTCAGTTCGTATTGATTTTTCGATATTTTGTCTCTAAAACACTGCGCATCGGAATTGCTTTAAAAAAAGTTCAAAATTTTCAAAATATAAAAAACATTTCAAATTTTTTAAAACATTCAAATTAAAACTAAAGAAAATTCTCAGAAATTTAATGTTTTCAAAGTTCTCAAAAAATTAAATAAAAAAAGATTTTCGCTAAGGAAAGTTTCAGCAAATTGTCTTAAGGTACTACTACTTTCTTTATTATTTTATCGTTCTATGTCTATTTTAAGATATCTTTTTATTACTACTCTATTATTATCTTTTGTTATTACTGTATCTTTAACAGTAGTAGAGTCTGATGAAAATTTAATTTAATATGTGTAATTGTTTATTTGAGCTATTTTACTTTTAAATCCTTTTCTTTCTGTAAAATGCGCAATTTAATGAAATAGTATTTGATATTATTACTTGGTAAACTGATGTAAGGCTCATGAATTTATGTATATAATAAGTGCAATTACCATTTGCGACATTGATGTAATTATATTACCACATACCATCCTCCTCATTACATGTATATAAAGTGAAAATTTCATCATATAGGGAAAGTTGCTTTATTATATAACTAGGTAATAGAAAATTCATCTCAAACGCTAAAACACTGAGAATAGTTCGGATTGATGTTTAAATAATAAAATAAACTAGTTGAAAGTGGCATTTTGCCTCCTCCAATTGAATTTTCTCAAACACATTTAGATTATCTGTAATAATATTAATTATATTGTACAGACACGTGCTTGTGTCATTATTCCACATTTTAATAAATTGTCAATGTTTGACATATCACATGTCAAAAGCAACTTTTGACACAAATTTTGATGTTGTTATTCCAAACTTTGATAAGTTTTCAAAACTACTTGCTATAGGGCCATAATATTTCAGTATGTTCTATAAGGCCATGATATCTATCGCGAAAAAATTCGGCAATTTTTTTTTCAACATTTATTTGCAAGAAAATGGCTCGGTTAAACTAATTAGTATCATTCCCTACTAATATCTTTCGAATAGTTTTCGATTTTTTTTAAATTGATTCAGTATTGTAAGCTAAAACGTGGACGAAAAATTTTACACTTTACCCATACTTTTTCAAAATTTTGTCTTATTAGATTCAGAATAGCTTGAAACGTCGAGAAAACATAAAATGGGCAAATAGGATTTTTTGATAAAAACAAACTTCTCCTTCGGGAAGTTAATAAAGCAAAATATATTTTTATTCGTATCATTTTCTATATACTATTTTACAAATACTCTGTTATCTTATGTTATAACCTCCATTCTGATCAGGCATGAGAAAATTAGATGGTTTAGCATCTTATTAATTCTTTGCACTGTCTTCAGACATGTCTTCAACTTTACTTTTCAGAATTTGATTTACCACCTTGCATATCCAAACCCGATGAAATCATCTTGAATTCATTTAGATTTCCTTGACTAAAATCGAGTCCTACACCTGCTGCCGATGCTAAAGCTTTGGCACCTGAGGATTATTATTTGTAGGTGGATTAATTTATTCTGAGATTTATTAGTGATTATCAATATCTTATGTGCCACCAACAATTTTTTCGAATTGTGTAGAAAATGTGTGATCAATCTTTTTATCGCAATGCCATTAGTACGATGACAAAAACATAAGTGAAGCAAGTGTCAAATCTGATCGTGTTGGTCGTTAATTTTTTAATCAAATTTGACAATTAATACTTAAAGAATTTATTTTTAATTATATATTATTTTTAATTATATATTAAAGTTTTAATTCGCATAAGTCATACCTGTAGCAGGCATTTGAGCCAATGTGCTACCTCCAACATTGCCTATTTCGCCTGCATGATCAGCAGCTGCAAGTGCATTGTCTTGCTGTAATGCTCCGGCAGTTATCAAATGGGTAATAGCCACCATTGCAGCTGCAAATAAAAATTGTAATGCAACGAATACCGAACCAAAAATATCATATATATTATGATAATCACATACTATAAACTAAAGAACATACATATATTTATGTTATTTATAAACAGTTTTTATAATTATATAGTTCCTTATGAAATTCGAAATTATTTTAGAACAGAAAAAATATATTGGTAATTATTTTGGATTATCGACGGATGGTTTGAAAAAAAAAACATATATACACAGATATATATCGGGCGGATCGATTTGTAAGGTTAAAAAAGGGCACATAGGCACATATGATTTTCGGATACTAGGGATCAGAATCAGATACTTTGCCGAAGAAACCATATCTCTAAAATGAATTTTGAAGTCCCGTGCATTGATTTGAAGATTGAGTCAAATTTTGAAAAATCCTGTTTTGACCGACACTCCACTAACTTTGAAAGGTCGATTTACCCATGCCCATTGTTCACTTCCTTGGACCTTACCTTAAAGGTCTCCCATTCAAAAATTGGACCCGATTGCAGCACTCTAAATGGGCCAAAACGGAATTATCAAAATTCAACCCTTATTTTTGAGTCAATGCACGGGACATCACAATTTATTTTGAAGGTATGGTTTCTTCAGCAAAGTATCTTATTTTGATTTCTAGTATCCGAAAATCATATGTGCCTAAGCGACTTTATAATCGACCCGCACTAATATATATATATATATATATATATATATATATATCTTATATATAAAAATGGAGCTCTCGATAAAATGATTCGCTAAAACTCGAAAACGGCTAAACCGATTTGGCCGGTCTTAGTTCTTTCATAATAAAAGTATTTTACTCCGTTGGTATTTTGTAAAATACCTTTGAAATTAAAATAAGACATTAAACTTGTTTGTCACCTGGCCGTTACAAAATCCAGAATCCAAAAAGAATCTGAAAAACTTGAAACGTGATCAATAAGTCGAAAGACCAAAAAAGATTTGGATTGGATTATACCATGTTTTCTATAGAAAGTGTATAAAACTTCCAATTTGATTGTATAGACAAACTAATGGGGTTTATTGTTTTTATAATACCTCTTTGTATATAGCATTCAAATAACACATCTTTTATACACTTAAAGTATTCATATTTTTGATTCTCTAGGAATTGTTTAGAATATACCTTACTTAGCAAAACAACGTTTGCCGGGTCAGCTATAATATATGTATATATATATATATATATATATATATATATGTATATATATATATATATATATATATATATATATATATATATATATATTACAATTACCAATCCGCGTGAAGTCAATTACAATTACTAAATTATTTTTCATAAAATTTTGTTAGTGTGAGCACGTAGCCATTTTTTTTTCTCCTAAATTGAAACTATTTTGTTTTAAAATTTGATTGATCCGGTCGTGAGTCTAAAAACCTTTCATGTAATAATATAAAATTGTCATTTTTATTTATATATTTTTGTGTTATGAAAATTAATTTCGAACAAACAATTCGATCGACCGAACGTGTCAATCATATTTATTTTTACGTTTAGTAATTTTGAAATTAAATAGTTGTAGCAACAATCTGGGTGATCATAAATAACCGCGAATAAATAGAGCAATATGTTATTCCAAAATGAAAATTGCATACGTAAATAAAATTTTATGAAATTTTTTATTATTAAATAAACGATTAGTAAAATTGGCCCACCTTATTTAAGTAGTTCTTAATATTTAAATATCATGCTTTTAATAATACTGGAATTGTACAGTACCTACGCCTGAAGTGCTAGCACTTGTACCTTGACCCAACAGATCAGTGAAACCTTTGCTTGAACTTGGAATATTTTTTTCCAAAGACTGGCCTACCGGTACTATATCATTATATTGCTGAAAACAGACATTTTTAAATGTTATTTTTTGAAATACAGCAGGTTTTAGAAACAATTATCGATAAATATTTAAAAATACAAATATGTTTTTATTAAGTTACAGTCTGCCTATAAAATAAAAAATATAGTAATTTTGTAAATGACTTATAGGAAAGGTTACCCTGTAGTAAATTTTGTCGCTGTTTTTAAATTATTTTAAAATGACAAGTAGAAAAATATCAAAACTTGTATGTAACATTAGTTTACCCTTTATCATTTCCAGGGTTTTTTAGTAATCGTATCAACAGTAGGCAAAGAAGCATGAGTTTAGGTATGTAAATTCATTGCTACTACAGTTTTTAAGCAAGTTTTAGATGTTTAAAAATAATGGTAATTCTATTTTGTATATTTTCATACCCTCCGTTTCAATAATATCTTATTGAAACTATTTAATACTAAATGTGTATAAACTTATACATTTCTTTTGATTTATGTTGAGTCGATGAAGATTGATTCATACCTTAAAACTAATGGAAATGAACTTTATTTGAATTTAACAATTATTTTAATTTTATCTTCTTGTTGTTATTCTGTTTTAATTAATTGATAGTTTATAAATATTTTTTCTATAACGAAGCTAACGAATACAATCATCATTATTTCTATGATTTAGTAAAAATATGAATTTAATTACTTCAACTAATAACTAAAAAACGATTGATTGATTTATTTTCCAACAAACGCAATAGACTCAAAAGAGGATTAGTAACCACTGGTTCCGAGTTCGATTTCCGCCTTTACCAGTTTGATATCAAGCAATGTTATCAGATCTTCACTTGATATTATAGATACCAAAGAAGATATGAAAGGAATCAGAAAGGCGTTAACCAACCATTGGGTTGACTTCTAGAAACACTACATTCACAGAATTTATGTTATAACTGCTTAAGAACGTACCTATGAATGCATTTTGTTAGAATTTCCAGAAACAAAATTATTATAATTAATTATACATTATTAAACTGCAGTTATTTGTATGAATTTATGAATTTTATCAACCATCTGCACTAAATTACAAAATTTAACTTAAAGGTTTTAAATTTGTTCATTTTAGTTAGTATATATTATTATCGTCAATTATTAATTTATTGCAAATCGATAATTTTTACCCTTGAAATATTTAATTCTCCCTAATTAACAAATGTTACAACTATTAAGTTATAAAATTATAATACTCACATTAACTTGGCATTTAATAGATATAACAGACATGAATATGATTAAAATTATTTTATACATGTTTAGATTCACATCATTTTAAACCACATGTTACAAAAATAAATTCATAGAACGACAGAATACAAGTTTTTATATGATAATCAATTATTAAATATTTAAATAATAATCAAACAAAAATGTTTACAAAGATGTTGTATAGAGAATAACTATTGAATATTTGCAATTAATTGTACTAATAAATTTTGAAGCAAGTAATTATACGCAATTTAAAAAAAAATTCATAAATTCGCGAATTTTTTGCTATTAGGCATACTAACTATTTGAAGGAAAATTTGTTCGACTATGTTTAAAAAACTGAATTATTTTTTTTGTTATATATCTGTTATTGGTAATTGTCTACTGTTGTGGCTTTATACTTGTTTATGTGTTGTGGTAAGTGCTTGACTTAGATTCAAACAAGCGCTTCAAGCTATGGATTCAATCCCGCGCTTTCGACAACCTAATATCAAGCAGTAATATTATTTCTTCCACTAAAAAACAATTTGCTCATATTCTCAAGATTTATTAAATCAGTAATTACAATAACATTTATTCTGTGAGCTCTATAAAAGTGAGCTTTTCTTCATAGATGCGGTCTTAAATTAATGCAAAATTTTTGCAAAAAACCGTCCTGTGACAGTTGTAAAGATTTTTATGATAATTCTATTTTTTACTATGAAATTTTGTATATTAGAATAATATGTAAATGTTAAAACATTTGATACAACAATATTTAATTTCATAGTTTACTGAACTGAACTTTTATAATACTTCTTATTCTAATTATTGGTCTTATCTATATAAGACTTATTAATCTCTACTTTTCAGGGGTCTCCTTGTAGGGGTTTCATTCATATAACATAAGCAACTTGAATATAATCAATTACAATATTGTGTGTCCTGATAAATCTTTTTTGTAAAATAGAAATACCCACGCATTCATACTGTATTATTAAATTTAACTAAACTTATTACTTAATACTATCGATTCTTATTTTATAAATGTCGTTTATAACTATTTGTATCATTTGCATAATCAATGTAATCATCACCCAAAGTGTTATTTAAACCACTCATAGTATAGTTGCCTGGTAGTTCAGAGGTATTTTCACCTTGATTTATTAAATAATTTTGTGTAAAATTGTTGTTTGAATCATCAGTACTAAATTGTCCTCCAGCTGTTTTACCGCCTTGAAAATCTAGACCAGATGCTGATTGTTTTCCGAAATTCAACCAACCCTGACCAAAATCCAGGCCTGTATTTACCAAACCAGATAAAGCTTGTGCTCCTACAAATTTAAAATCTTTAGTTATTGTTTACTTGACCAAAAAAAGGTAAATAGACGGCGAAACAACAGAATGAATGTTTTTATATTTGCTAATTTTGTTTTTAATTGGTATATATTAAATTTACATACCATGAGCTGGCATTTGGGCCACAGTACTTCCCCAAGCATTACCAGTTGCACCAGTCTTTTTTCCGATAGCAACAGAATCTTCTTTTTGCATAGCTCCAGAAGTCATCGTTTTGCTGATGCCCATTATTGTTGCTAAAAAGATCATATAAATTAATTTTCATTATAATTATAATTATAATTATAATTATAATTATCATTTATAAATATTTTCGATAGTTTACTAAAACTTATTTAAATTCACTAAAAACCTTATTTTTACATTTTTACTTGATTCGAATGTTTTCAGGATTAACTGTTTACCCGCTTAAATGGTCTTTAAAGAAAATGATATTTTAACATAAAAGTTTAATATAATACACAATAGTCTTTTCATTCAAACATATGATTTTAATTATACTAAGGTTAATGAAGATGTCATGCACAATCTTTTTCATTTAGACATTGTTATTGTCTCAATTTAAACGAAATCTGATCCTTCTGTCGATGTTTATGACTGTTATACAACGAATATAACGAGTACTAATATAATACGTCTATAGCAATTTTTAGTCTCATATTATATTGATTTTATTTACTGATTTCAATTGACGTAACTAGTAGAACAATTCTTTTTTATTGTAATATATTTTTAACATCCCGAAGGAGAAGTTTATTGCCAATAAATTATATTTGATGAGACTTAATTTGCAGAAAATAGGGGGAAGTCCCGTAACGCCGTACGGCATCAAGCACCGGACACTCTATTTAACACGTATTATTTAAGCGAGTATTTTCATTTCAAAATACAAGTAAAGGGAGCATGGGGGGCACCCAGGTACAGGATCCCGCACCAAGCCTCGCCTGTGACGCACACGGCCACGGCGAGAGCAACCCTTTCACGTTTTAGGCGCAAAATAACGGCGTCATCTAAATATCAATAGAAGTAATTCTAGCATATTTATGCATTTACCTTTGAGTGGTATGCAGAGATAAAAGTTGTACTTGATTGTTATCCGTGAAATGGTAGAATATTATTAGATCTTTTAACCAATTTTAGTAGATGCCACCAAATGAACGAAAATGTCTGTCCGTTAGCCCTGGACACTAAGTCGTCCCTTAGTGCCAGACAGTAAATATATTGATATTTCTTGTTAGAATTTACGTAATTTATTTCCATTATTAAATTTTGTTCTGTATGGGTGCCAAGGGTCACTACGTATCCCCATTTTTCGTATTTCCTAGTCAAAGAATGAACAGTTTATGGTGAATGCACCAGCTGAGAGCATCGGTGTGGCCCAGCCAAAAAAGTGGGTGAATGGTGACTTTTTTTTGCAATATCTAAGAATATTCGTCAAAGACACAATCGCAGACATTCTAGAGTTTGGAGATGGCAACATACGTGTATGTGATCAATTCAGGTTATTTTGAAATGTCCGGTACTAGATGCCACAGTTTAAAATCATATTTTTCGATACCAAAGTTTAATTGATAGTATTAATTATATTTAGCAAAAATTGCGGTTTTCTTAATTTAGTTTGATTTCTTTGTTATCTAGCATAAATCATAATTTAATGAACATTTCATAAAATATTTTTTGATTTATTTATAAATAACCTTAGGTGTCCGCCACTACGTGTATGTTTGTATTTAAGCCGATTTTCGATCGTTTGTCCCCGTTTTCTGGAAAACAACTGTACCAATTTTAAAAATTCCCGTTTTTTTGTAATTAGCAGCAAAAGTGACAAGTTTTTTGTCCACCTTTTAACTCGCAATCAAGAATCAATTATAAAAATTCAAATTAGAAAAACAAAAATTCCGCGATTAGGTTTGAGAGACAATCGGCCAAGCTCTGTTTCATTGGAATTGGAAAAAAATGGTTCCTTTGTAATCTTCTTGGCCAAAGATTTGCTATCTCAAGATAATGGATTTGTGCATTCAGAAAGTTAAAAGTTCAAAGCAAAATACCACTTACATCTATTTACTACATTATATTACCTAGGCCTAAGGTTCCTGCTTTTGTACCATCACCTAGTAAGTCTGTCGCCCCTTTGCTGGCACTTGGAACATGTTCACCTAAGGAAGTGCCCACTGGTTGCAGATCATTGTATTCCTAAAATTTCGACCCATAATTCTTGTATTTTTCGTTTGATAACATTTTCATTCAACTGATTTATGATACAAATATTACATATTTGTATAGTAATGCAGAAACACATATATATTACATATTTTGTTATTAATATTTTATTATTTTACTATTAATAATTATAAAGAATTATATTTATATTATAGTGTAGCGAGATTTTTAGATTCAACTCCTCAACAAAGTAAAATAAATTTGTATCGACAAACTTCGACTTATCAAAAAACCTTAATTTTTATTTATCAAATCACTTACATTAACTTGGCCAGTAACGATTTGAGTCCAAGCAAACAGAAATAAAAATGTTCTATACATGTTTACCTCAACGTTATACAGATAATTTTGGTGAAATTTATATGTGAAGACTTTTATAGAGATTTTATTCAAATATTTAAATATTGTTCAAATAAAAGCTGTTTGAGGTGTTTTTTGTAATATCTGATTTGTCTGACTTGTTAAATATTTTCGAATTGAATTGTTTGAACACAGCTTGTATTTTGTATAATAATTTATTATTTTTTTTCAACTTCAATTTACTATATGTAATTCATTTTCATTTTAAATATGTTAATTATTTTTACAACCTTTCAGTTTATTTGATCTACTGAATAATCTTCACTGAATATTATAACCGTTTCGGTTAATTTAATTGGAATGGAATTGAATTGGAATGCTGATTGTTAGATTTTGTTACAAATATAGTTAAAAAAATGAAAAGTGGAAAGTAGGTAACCTAATAAAATCACGGGGATAATATCGCATTCATAATAAATTGTGTGAACTGATAGAAACACCTAGGTACATTTAAAATGCTTGTTAAAAAGTTTGTTAAAATGTATAATGACCTTTTAAGTATATAGAATAATAATTACTTCCGACACAAATTAGGAAACTTGAAAATTAAAAACTTTCAGGGAAACAACGCATTTTGAAAATAAATTTAATTTTTAAAAAAATATAATAATGGAAATAATTAATAACTAAGAAGCTGCACAGTCACTACGTCTGTTCATGTCAATTTTATATACATACATATGTTTGAATAAATTATTTAAATTTAAATTCAATTGAACAGTTGGTTATCAGAAACCTTACACAAACATTATTATTTTATTTAAAGTATCAAGTATTTTTGTAATTATCAAACATTTTTAGTATGTTGTGAAAGTATATATTGACCCAGTTGCCACATATGAATAAATAAATCACAGCATGAATAATTATTTGAGCATTCTTCATCACCTGGTTGGCTATATTGTCACATCTAGTATTTTTTTTAAATTGCTGAGAAAATTATTCATTATATCGTTTACGAAATGTCAAACCTAAATCAATAGTAATAAAAATGATACTATTTTTCGAAAAAAATGGTTGATAAAACTATTTACTTGTTTTACGATAAATAACCATTTAATAATGCTTCCTTGTATAATATATTATACAACGAAATATAAAACAAATTAGTCTTATCATTATTAGCTAAATTGATTCTATACATATTAATTTAAAACGGCAATCCAAAACTTCCAAGACCTGGCAATCCCCCACCAAATGCCCCTCCGCCAATGCCACCACCTGCGCCGCCACCTTCACCAGCACCCGCACCACCACTTCCTCCTGCACCTCCGTTTGCACCAGCTCCTTCTCCACCATTTGAATTACCGCCTGCACCTCCTCCCATACCTGGGATTGCATTAGCAATACCACCAAAGCCACCTAAGAGGTCAGCGCCTGGTATTGCACTAGCCATACCTCCCATATCTGGTATACCACCACCAAGTGCATCCATTCCTGGGATCATGCTTGCCATACCCCCCATATCTGGTATACCACCACCAAGTGCATCCATTCCTGGAACCGAGCTTGTCATACCTCCCATATCTGGTACACCACCACCAAGTGCATCCATTCCTGGAACCGAGCTTGCCACACCTCCCATATCTGGTACACCACCACCAAGTGCATCCATTCCTGGAACAGAGTTTGTCATACCTCCCATATCTGGTACACCACCTCCAAGTGTATCCATTCCTGGAACCGAGCTTGCCATACCTCCCATATCTGGTACACCACCACCAAGTGCATCCATTCCTGGAACAGAGTTTGTCATACCTCCCATATCTGGTACACCACCTCCAAGTGTATCCATTCCTGGAACCGAGCTTGCCATATCGCCCATATCTGGTACACCACCACCAAGTGCATCCATTCCTGGAACTGAGTTTGCCATACCTTCCATATCTGGCACACCACCACCAAGTGCATCCGTTCCTGGAACCGAGCTGGCAATATCTGGTATACCGCTTCCAGAATTGTGAGTTTCGGGTGAATTATAAAGGCTATTCGTATTTGACGTTGCAGAGTTGCCATTATTTTCTGCTAAAAGAAATTTTCAGGTGTAAATATAGCAGGATATGAATTTGAGATCAGTGATATATTTACAAATATATTTAGGAAAATTAGCTTATGCTTAAAATTTCTATTTATTCGATGTAGGAAAAGTGTATAAATCTATCGGTATATATCGATATCTATAGGTATCTATCTTTTCCAGATTGATTTAAAAAATAGAATTTCGTTAATTAAAAATTGAACCATATTTTATATATATTAGGTTATTTGATGATTTAGTAGAGCCTAAAAAATCAGGCGATACAAAGATTATTAATTTGAAACATGACGATGAGGATAGTATCAACAAATTACGATTTTCAATAATAATTTATATATGATAAACCGCCAATTGAATGTCATTTTTGTTAATATTACCCCAATAGTATCTCCCAAATAGTACGTAGTAAGATTATATTAATTTTTATTGGTCCATAGTACTGAATAAATTTTTGAAACAATAGATCAAAGACAGATAATAATGATACTAATTGTTTAATTAATTCACTAATTTAGTGCTTTGAGTATCGCCAATGCAATAGTGTATTTTTTATTGGTGCATTATACAATTTTCTGTTACCCTGATAACAACCCTCAGTCTCCCTACTAATTGTATTATATCATATGATGTCACCTGTGTGTTGATTTCTAGTCGGCTCATTATGGCCATTCGAAATGGCATTTTGATTTGTAGGTTGTCCATTGCGATTGTAAGCACCATTCTTATCATATGTACCATCTTGTCCAACTGGTGACAGTTCGGCATTTTGATTAGTTTGTCCATTGCGGTTATAAGCACCATTCTTGTCATATGTACCATCTTGACCAGCCGGTGTTTGTATACCATTTCTGTTAGTTTGTTCGTACATGTTTGGCGGTGGATTGTTATCCGTACTGCCAACACTGAAATTTTCTTCAGCCGTTTTACCTCCTTGCATATCGAGACCAGAGGACGCAACTTTAACGAAGTTCAACCAGCCTTGGCCGAAATCAAGGCCCGAATTTACTCCATTAGATAGAGCTTTTGCTCCTAAAATTTATTTCTTATTAGTATTACTATCATCAAATTGTACGTTCAGACATAAAATTTTTATTGTTTTTATAATTTTTTATTACTAAAATAATTTTATATTAATTATGATGGTTCATCATGGGCTGTGTTTAAATAATAAATATCAGAAAGATTGAACAAAAACTTAAAAAAAAGTATATGAAATATATATTTTTGTACCGAATTGGATATTACAAACCATCTGCTGGTATTTGTGCAACCGTGCTTCCCCATGCATTCCCTGTCAAACCAGTTTGTTCACCAACAGCCACTGCTTTCTTTTGTTGCAGACCACCAGAAGTTATCATATGGGAGATACCCATTAAAGATGCTAGAAATATCATAGTATATGTTAATACTTACATAGTATATTTTAATACAGCATGTGCATTAAAAAACTATTGGATCTCTTTGTAGATGGTTATATATTTCCGTTTTTGAAAATCAAGAAATATTTGTGACAACCTTAGGCAGTAACTGATTGACTAAATGGTTGAATTTTTTCTTATGCCTATTGCAGCAAAATGTATTGTGTTATACTTGATATTGATATAAGATTTAAGGTCTGTAGATGGTACAATCTCTTCGAAATTGTTCGAACTGATTGAAAATATAATCAAGGTTGTGATGTGTGATAAAATTCATTCATGTATTAATATAACAGTTGGATTTGCTGGCTCATATTTTGAATTTTGCATAATTCTTGTTAAAGAAGACTTTAATCCAGAACCTATTGATGCTTCTCATTATGGCAAATGAAAATTAAAAAAAAAAATACAGGCCATTTATGACCCATCGAATTTGGCAACGTATTAGTTTGCAATAACCCAAAATAAAATGAATGATGATGATATATAGGTAATATCAACTTTTGTTAAAATTTAAACTTTATTATAAACGGAGTTGCAATGAAAATTGGAACATGTGCATTGTACATGAGTGCAATTATTTTTTCAACAACTTGTGATGAATGGCATAATGCCTTGGCAAATTGAAACTCCTATATCATAATTTGAATTTTTTAAAAACCAAAAATTTTCTGAAAACTGAAAAAATACATTTTTAAGAATTTCAAAATCTTGTAAAAAATTAATCGAACTTATTTAAAAATTGAATTTTTTAATTTTTTCTTATTATTCTTCTTTCATAATTTTCATAGCAATCGCGCTGATGAGTAACAGTTTTAGGACGAAATATACAAGCGCCGCTTTGCAGTCTAACGGTCAAACATATCATGGATCTTAATATGGATCCCATAGAGATGTAAACTAAATTTGTACTTATTATTAAAATTTTTATAAATTATCTAATAATTTGATGCGCATCTATCTGATGATCATTGATGCGCATCTATTTCATGATCATTGATGCGCATATATCTAATGACCGCCATTTTTTATTCCTTTTTTCATTGGATCCCCGAAACTGCTGGACCCTTTCTTTAAAAAAATTTGATCGGTTCATTACAAGTAAAATGTCTATTGAATTCTTCCAATGTACACTCCGTTCTTTGAAAAAGTGAATTACCATTTTTAGCACTGTACGAGGTGTGTTCAAAAAGTACCCGGAATTTTTAAATTTCGCGGGTCTGGAGTGTCTGATTGTCAAAATTTTTTTTTTATTGTGTTGGTATACATGCCCCTAAAGTATGATGAAATTTTCAGCTATATTCACTGTTTACTTTGTCTGTGGTAGTCGCTAAGGTTCGACGTGTTTTTCTGAGCTCGGCGATTTTTACAATGGAAGAATTGAAAAGTCAAAGAATTTGTATTAAATTTTGCGTAAAAAATGAAATAAAGTGTAACAAAGTGTGTGAAATGTTACAAAAAGCCTATGGTGAGTCTGCTATGAAAAAAACAAGTGTTTACGAGTGGTATAAGCGTTTCCAAGATGGCCGCGAAGACGTTGAAGATGACGAACGCTCCGGTCGACCCAGCACGTCAACAAACGATGAAAATGTGAAAGAAGTGGAAAAAATGGTTATGAATGATCGCCGAATCACAATTAGAGAAGTTGCTGATGAAGTTGGCATATCAATTGGCTCATGTCATAACATTTTTTCAAATGTTTTGGGCATGAAACGAGTGGCAGCAAAATTCATTCCAAAACTGCTAAATTTTGACCAAAAAAGCAATCGCATGAACATCGCTCAAGAGCTGTTAAATGACGTCAACAACGATCCAAGTTTGCTTGAAAGGGTCATAACTGGTGATGAAACATGGGTGTACGGTTATGATGTCGAAACCAAAGCCCAATCGTCCCAATGGAAGAGCCCAGGTGAGCCAAGACCGAAAAAAGCACGTCAAGTTCGATCGAATGTCAAGGTTTTGCTTACTGTTTTCTTTGATTATAACGGCATAGTGCATCAAGAGTTCTTACCACAAGGTCGTACGGTTAATAAGGAGTATTACCTTGAAGTGATGCGACGTTTGCGTGAAGCAATCCGAAAAAAACGCTCCGATTTATGGAAAAACAATTCATGGCTGTTGCACCACGATAACGCACCTGCTCACTCGTCGTTGCTTGTTCGTAATTTTTTGGCCAAAAACAATACCGTAGTCATGCCCCAACCTCCATATTCACCAGATATGGCTCCGTGTGACTTTTTCCTATTACCAAAGTTGAAGAGACCCATAAAAGGACGGCGGTTTTCCTCGATTGAAGAAATAAAGGCCGAATCGCTGAGAGTGCTAAAGGACATATCAAAAAGTGAATATCAAGGGTGCTTCGAAAATTGGAAAAAACGCTGGCATAAGTGTATTATATCTGGGGGGGACTACTTTGAAGGGGACCACATTAATGTAGACGAATAAATAAATATTTTTTTGAAAAAACGAAAATTCCGGGTACTTTTTGAACAGACCTCGTATACCGCCGCGTAGTTATGAAATTTATTAAAACTCTACTTTGATAACTCACGTTGTCGGGTTATAATTTAACCGTTGTAGCTGTGGACTGTATTAAATACTGATTTGTTGTTTTATTATGTTTTTGTAGCAATTCTTATTACAATCACTGATTTGTTACTAAGTTATAATGAAAGAAGATATATTTATTGGTTATTCATTATACATGTTGTTTCGTGGACTTTACTTTTAGAAGTGAACAATTAGTTCCATCGAAACACTCCGCTACCCCCTCTACTAGGGGTAGCAACCACCCCGTGTAAAAAATCAATGCCATGAAGATTGTCACCTTTATGGCTAAAATAATAAAACGAAAATACGTCCGAACCAGAACTTTTTGCTCTGTATCGTCGAATCGGCTAGGCCTGCTTTGGCCACATACATTCATCAATTTTTTCAAGGTATGCTTTAATGCTCAGAAGGTATTGATTCGTAAAGATATGTAAACATTTCTACTTCAAATTCTTTGCGATAACTATAACTTATTCTAGGAGAAATTAATAAAATTGTTTACGAATAATTATAAAAACATAATTTTTATTGAAATATTTTGGTATTATTATTTTCAACGATATTATTACCATAATGATTTTCTAGTAAAACCTGGTCGTTATATAATTACCTACACCCAAAGTGCCCGCGCTCGTACTGTGGCTCAATAAATCCGTCGCGCCGCCACTGGAACGCGACAAATGCGTGTCGTAGGCTCTTGCCGGAGTTCTGATGTCATTGTATCTCTGGTAATAAATATCAGATTTATTATTTATTATTAGAATTTATTAAAAAAAAATAGTAATACGATAAATGTAACTAGAGTTTTCCGCATTAAAACTGAATATATTTATATTTAACATTAATGAAAAAACGCATATTTATTATATATTATATTCTTACTACATATATAATTTAGGCATACGTTCGGTGTATGTTATGAAATATTTAATGCGTATTTTTATTAATCATCATAAGCTATTACGAAAATACATGCAATACAATAAATAGCAAACTTAAAGTCTTGCACTAAAATTAAAAATATTTTTGTTTTATGAGTAACGGTTTAAGACCACATCTACTAAACCTTTTATTTTTCATATTGATAATTTTTACTCACACTGATTTGAGCATCGATAAGTCCAATACTAGCACAAAAAATTAAAATGAACTTATACATTTTCAATAAATTGTACTTAAACTATAATAAAATTTAATGTGTTCATTATATCAAATGGGTTTAAACTGTCAGCGATAGACCCTTTTAAAGACTCTGCAAATGATTTTATTTATATACATTAAACAAACAAAACTACTGAAGAAAACAAGCTTTTGTATAAATAAGTACGTGGGCAAACAAGTGTAACAAGCTGTTGAAATATACACACTTCAATTATTTCTATAAGTATATAAAATAAGTAAAATTATTAAAAATATTTAAATAATCACAACGAATTTGAATTATTTTCAATGGTATTATAATTGATTGATTAAAAGTTGATCAGTAGTTTTAAGGTTGCACAGTTTCTTTAGAGGCAGTTTGAACGATAGCACCAAATTAAGTAAAAAAATAAAATGAGTCATATTAAATTGAGAGAACACGCAATATATTTCAAAATTATTAACCGATTTTGAATCGAAGAGTATAAAGGATCAATTTTGATTTTTTTCTCATTTCAAGAACTTACTCAGAAAGCTAAAATATAATAAGTTAGAAATCATTGTTATTACACAAATACTGCGAAAGTTTTAGATAATTATTGCCAATGAATAAGTAGTAAAGTGAAAATAAAGATGGGATTTTAAAATTTTCAAAATGTTATTTATTTCATATTTAGTTTATAGAGGTTTCAAACATTTAGAAATTTCAACGTTTCAAAGATATTTTATTGAATATGTTTTTTGAGTCTGTACACATGTTATTAAAACTCAACATTAGCAAACTTGTGAATTATTGTAATAATTTATTATTCATTAAACGAACTGTGATTTCTCTTTATGATAATTCATAAGATAAATCACTACCTGCACCATCCAATAAAAAATTTCAAATGGCTCAATTTACTATGAACCGGAATATTTATTTTTTACCCAAACCTGCTTCAACAATCAAAATATCCAATTATGGTTAAAGCAATTTCTGTCAATAAAAATCAAAACCAGATTATATATTAGTAGAGACATTTTAATAATTTGCACACGTGTTTCTATTAAAATATTTGTTTATTATATGTTAAACATTATTTGATATATCATATATTTGATAAAATTAAATATTTTTTCCAATAAGTTTATTTATTTTTCGAAAACGCTATAAAAGTGGAAGAATATTTCACAGTGTAAATTTGGTTTTGAGTTGCAACGTGGTAATTTTAATTTTCGACATGATTTTATTAGTTTTAATATCTTTGCTGATTTCTGGAACACTGCAGCAACAAGAAGTAAGCTTTCGATAATATTTACTTTCTGACTTTTTTTAAAGTCAAATATTGGAAAATTCCATGTGCTAGAACGTTAGTGGTAAAATTACAAGTTTTAAAAATAATTTTTACTTAAATTTATTTTGTCACACTAATTTAACTCTTTCCACTCGCGAATTCCGAGATTAATATGTTTTCTGTCCACGGTAACATCCGAGTGGAAAGGGTTAATTGCGCTTAGTTGAAAATCATGCTAACTTTATTGTTTATTATTAGAGCTATGGTTCATTTGTTTCGATTTTTGAATATAAAATTTCAAATTAATTATTATCTCTAAAAAACGCATTAAAATTTGACCTTGTTAATATTTGACCAAATATACTAATTGAAATATTGATGCGTCAATTAGTATATAATTATATACTACAGGTTATCAAAGTAGTTTTGGCAAGTAAAATAAAACACTGTCGAGTTTTAAACTTTTTTTAGTAAACAAAATATTGATAAATCATTTTAGCTTAATCGATGAAAGTTAAGATGATATAAAGATTTCTACATTCTAAATAACTAAGATCTCTAGATTCATGAGCTTTTTATATCACTTTTAATTTTATCATATTATAGGAATAAGAAATCGATAAGCATCAAATTATAATTGCACGAAATAATAATAACATTATTTTATACTTCATTTTTCTTAAAAGAAAAAAAAAGATGTAGAAATTGGAATAAACATATAATTGACCAAAACTAAAATGTTTTTCTAAATTACTATTAAAAATATTTTAATAATATAAGGCAGCTGCCGACGGTGCGAAAGATTTGTCAGGGGGCGTTCAGGGCATAATGAAAGTGGGTGACGCACTAGGAACGGGTGGAGAGCATATCGGGCACACTGCTGGAGGTTTCGGACATGTGCTTTCAGACACTGCAACTGGAAATCCAAATCAGCAAGAAACTGTGGCTAGGTAATGAGAAGTCGAAAGAGAAAAATTTGAAAATTTTTGACTTGGAGTTTCTCAACAAGAATGAGAAAAAACTTCATCACAGAATATATTCTTTTACGTTTCGTGGTGCCGATGGGTCATAAGCATTTAGATTCAAGGACCGATTTCGTCGCATAACAGAAAAATGTTATGGCAAGGCCATGTTACGCTCAAACTTCCCTACATTATGCTACTGCATCATACCGAATACTGTCAAAATGCCATGTATTTGCTGTGCATTCAGGCGTTTTACACATAAACTGCAACGTCACTCGTATGTTATGAACATGAGTCAGAAAGACCCTGTTATCTAACATCGTTTTTTTGACACTTGTGCGGCTAGGTTCCGTTTCCTAGGTTACGTTTTTTATCTGACAACCTGAGAAAATCGCCTGACTGCACAGCAATTACATGGCTTTTGTCAATATTTAGAACGAATTTGTATGGAAAATTCTTCATAATATAGCCTTGCTATAACATTGATCTGTTATGCGGTCTGATTAAACAATCAGAATTCTATAGCAAGGTTTCAACTGATCATGAAAGGTTTACATAGGAAACTGATAAGTTTTTTGAAAATGTTGTTTTAAACATTTCGCATCAGTTTCGAAATATCTTATGAACTTTTTTATGCGATAGTTTTCAACAAATTTATTGAAAGAATAATATATAGATGCGGCAGTAGGTACTACAACTACTACGTTTTGAAAAATTGAATGTATTTCTACAAAGTCTTATAATTTTTTTTAAAATATGAAAGTTAAAAATAATCGTTTGTCTTGATTATAATTTAATAAATAAATTAGTGGTATGAATGCATATGACCAAACCAGCGGGAACCCTCATCATTAACTCTTGAGGAAAATCAGAAGCTTCAACAATTTACTGATGATAAAAAGTAAAAGTTTTGAGTTCTATTTATGATAATAACTTAATATACATCTCTATGTTGAAACAAGTACTCTGCTTTAGTTTCAAAATAGTTTGAACGTGGAATTTAGCGGTATAATTGCGATTTTTGTAAACAAATTGTGACGGAAAAGGTTCAATATGCCCCTCTTTGGGGGCTATGCTGTTACGTAGTATAATTATAGCATTGCTTCCCCAATACATCAGCCCTCTACTATCTCGTCTTGTAATTGTCTCTGTAGGTTAGTAACTAACTAAGCGAATGAAATCAAGATTGCCTTTATAAATAATCTAAGAGTAAAAATGCTCAGCAAAGGAGGCCTTTTCAAAAGTTACAAATTCATTTAATTTGCCGCGAAAGAGACAACCAATTTATTCCAATGTTGAAATTCTTAGAACAAGTGATCATGCAAACGAGAGTCTCATGATAGTCGGTGGTTCTGCTAATACTTTATTGGAAACTGCTAAAACCGGCGGAGGTCTTCCAATGGACTCTGTAGGTTGGTTTGGAGCTGCTGTTCCTAATTTTACTGGGTCAGTTACAGAAGGACACGATCCTCATGAGTGGGCGAAAAAGAAAAAGCAGGAACAAAATGGTTCTAGTGATTAATTATAATAGAATGATAATTATTATTCATTTAAAAAGTATTTAAGATCTTCGATCTAGTAACCACAATGTAGTTGCATTATGTCTCACATGATTCAGTTTTCACCTGAAAATATAGATAAAAAAAAATTAACGATAAGTGAAAATAGTCTAGGGCACTGCTGCGCCAAAAATAATTTCGTTATAAAATAAATAAATTAGAATATAAAAATATTAATTCATTTGATAAAATTTTAACAAAAAATATTTTGTATGTCGTATAATAGGATGTAAAAAATATTATTTATAGTACATAAAAGTATATCAATAGTTTACAATAAAAAATCTGATTTTTAATCAAATGTACCTACTTACTTAAGATCTAATTGATTATTATGGTCTTTAAATTAGACATAGAGTTCACATGAGCAAGTGTATATGGTTAAATAAAATTTGATTTTGATTCTATATAAACTTTGATATGACGTAGTTTTTGATTCAATAATTATAATAAAATTATCTTAAATATTAAATATTTTTCACAGCGCTGTTTGAATTATAATATCATATTTTATTAAAAACATTAATCGAAAAAAAAATCTTGTGGTTTAAGAAATCATAAACATTTCATAAACTTAACCAACATTTTCGCTAATTACCTAACCTGCAATTTTGCTATTAGCTTTTACTATTATTTATTATTATTAGTTTATTAGAGTATAGGTAGGAAGACCATGCAAAATATTGTATATTATTTCAGCAACAATTAGAAAAAAGTAATATATTACAATACAAGTTAATTTCTTTAATAACCAATATAATTAAATTATTTTCATACAAACTAACTGATAAAATTTCATACAAAAAGAACTAATTAATCTAGTGGTGCCATGTCATTGTCTTAAGACAAAACTATTGAAACTTTCCGTACTGT